TAAAGCCTCGAAAGGAGTGAGACGGAGACTGACCTGATAATGGGTATTGTAACACCATTCGGCAAGAGTAACCCAGGCTGCCCAATCTTGTGGACGATGGAACGACATACAACGGAGGTAATCCTCCAAACACCTGTTAACGCGCTCGGTCTGGCCATCCGTTTGAGGGTGGTACGCCGTGGAGAAGTGGAGATCAACTGCTTGAAGGCGGAAGAACTCAGTCCAAAAAGAACTAGTGAAGGGTCGAGTCCCGATCCGAAACAATGGATTTAGGCATGCCATGGAGCTTGAACACACCGTCGAAGAAGACCTGGGCTACCGACTCCGCCGTGTAAGGATGAGAGAGGGCGAAGAAATGAGCGTATTTGGTGAACCTATCCACAACCACAAACAGAACCTCCTTCCCTTTCGACTTTGGCAGCCCCTCCACAAAGTCAATCGAGATATCCTGTCAAGCTTTCTCCGGAATGGGCAGGGGCTGAAGCAAGCCCGGAGAAGCTACCGCCTCTGCCTTACAGCGGCTACACACATCACATTCGCGTACCCAGGACTGCACCGCCGCTTTCATACCAACCCAGTAAAAGTGAGATTTCAGGCGCTGATAAGTACCCTGAACCCCCGAGTGACCACCAACAGCCGACGAGTGAAACAACTTCAGTAGCTTGGAACGCATACCACCGGAAGCACCGACCACGATAGACCCCTTGTAACGAAGAACCCCCTGCGCAAAAGACCACAAAGAAGGGCCAGAAGGAGCACACACCACCTCTGCAATTTTATCAGTTACCCAAGAATCTCCCTCATATGTCTGTTCCACCTCAACCAGCCACTCGGGCAATACTGTAGAGAGGACCGAGCACTCTCCCAACTCATTGTCATCCTCAAACCGCCGTGAAAGAGCATCCGCCGCGCCATTGAATTTCCCCCGCCGATATTTGATTTGAAACTCCAAACCCAGAAGTTTGACCAACCCTTTCTTTTGAATTTCTGTGTGAATCTTCTGCTGAAATAGGTACTTCAAACTTTCGTGATCGGTCAGAATTGTGAACGGCCGCCCCTCCAAGTAGTGACGCCATTGATCAACGGCCATGAGAACCGCCAAATACTCTTTCTCATATGTATTACGTCCTTGATTCTTGACCCCCAGAGCTTTGCTAAAGTAAGCAATTGGTCGCCCCTGCTGAGAGAGGACCGCTCCCACACCAGAACCGCAAGCATCAGTCTCCAATGTGAAAGGAATAGTAAAATCCGGCAGGGCCAGCACTGGGGCACGACTCATAGCGGCTTTGAGAGCAACGAAAGCAGCAGTAGCTTCGGACGTCCATTTAAAAGCATTCTTCTTCAATAGTTCTGTGAGAGGGCGACTGATGATTCCATAATGGCGAATGAACTTGCGGTAGTACCCTGTAAGACCCAGGAACCCCCGCAAGGCCTTACTGTTTTTGGTTGAGGCCAACTGACCATAGCTGCAATTTTGTTAGGTTCCGTCGCTACGCCAGATTCCCCAATAACATGACCCAGATACTCCACTTGAGGCTGGCCGAAGGAACACTTCGACATCTTCGCGAAGAGCTGATGATGACGAAGTAAGAGCAGCGTTTGGTGCAAATGCTCGAGATGCAGCTCCTCCGTAGGGCTATAAACCAGGATATCGTAAAAAAAAAACAAGGATGAACTTGCGGAGGTGGGCTGCAAAAACATGATTCATCAAGGCCTGAAACGTGGCCGGAGCATTGGTTAAGCCGAAAGGCATAACCAAAAACTCATAGTGCCCTTCAGCCGTCCGGAAAGCAGTCTTGTGTCTATCTTCTGGCCGCATCCGGATTTGATGATAGCCCGCCCGTAAATCCAATTTGGAGAAGAACTTCGCACCATGGAGCTCATCGATCAAGTCATCAATAATAGGGATCGGAAACTTGTTCTTGATAGTGACGGAATTGAGCTGACGATAGTCAACGCAAAAGCGCCACGTTCCATCCTTTTTACCAATTAACAGGACAGGGGCTGCATATGGACTCTGACTCGGTTGAATGAACTGAGAGGATAGCATTTCGCCGACCAACTTGTCAACAACGGCTTTCTGATGGTGAGGAATCCGATAGGGTCGAAGATTGATGGGTTTAGACAAAGGATCAAGGGGTATGGCGTGGTCAAATGGGCGAGAGGGTGGCAGAGAATTAGGTGAGGCGAAGACATCGGAAAATTGGGACAAAAGAGGGGCAAGGAAACTCGGGGTTGAAGGAGCAGAGGAAGAAGAAAGGTCAGGGGACAGGGAGAAGAGATGTCCTGTGAACTGGGTTACCTTTTTCTTCAACAGTTTCCCAAAAAACTTGCCCGACAACAATTTACAATGGGCCTCCCCTACCAGGCCTTGGAGAGTAAGCTGTTTGCCATTCCACTCAAATGACATCTGCCTCTGTTTGAGATCCAACCGAATTGGGCTGACAGACTCCAGCCAATCCAGGCCCAACACCAAATCATGGGCCCTCAAGTCCAAAGTCCGAACATCGAAGGTGAACTCGGTCCCCTGCATTTGCCAACGAAACCCTCGACACACTGAGTTGCTGAGTAACGCGGCACCGTTCGCCACTTTGACCTTCATCGGCGGCACTAAGTCAAGACGACACCCCAACTCGGAAGCTCGCGATTCGCTCAAAAATGTATGGCTACTCCCGGTGTCAATGAGGACCACCACCTCCTGACGGCCAACGCGCGCCGGAATCTGCAACGCGCGGCCAACATAACCCGATCCCAACGCCTGCATCGAGACCTCCACATCCGCAACGTCGGCGGCAGGCTGGATCAGATCTACAATTTCTTCATCACTTTCCCCCGGAGATTCATCCGCTTGTAGAACTTGGATCTGCTTCTTCTTGGCACACACATGGCCGTAAAAGTAACGATCACCACACTTGTAGCAAAGACCTTGGCTGCGAGGATTGGGAGGGCGATTGGTCGACAGTGACTTTGAGGAAGACGACTCAGCCATAACAGGCTTTGGTGCTGGTGTGGCCGCCGATGGCAACCACTTGGAAGGAGGTCGATTCTTCTTCTTCCGAGCAGCAATCGACATCTCTTCCAACCGAGCTTGATGAAACGCGATGGATAAGTGCGGCGGCATCAACATCTGAACGCGAGGCTGAATTTCTTCATCGAGACCGCTGATGAAGCTCATGATGAAATAGGACTCCGAGAGGCTTGGATTCAATCGAAGCATTCTAGCTCGGAGATCTTCGAAAGCCTCCTGATACTCGGATACAGACCCGTCCTGTCGCAGTTTGTTGAAAGCACCGACGACATTGAGCTGATCCGTATCGCCAAATCGGTAAAGAAGGTCGCCGACGAAGATGTCCCACTGAAAAAATTGGCGGTTACAGGCCCATCCCTCATACCAGATGTTCGCGCGGCCCTCCATATACATGGAAGCCACCTCCACTTTCTCTGCGTCGGCGATGGAATGGATCTGAAAATATCTAGCACACTTCCGAAGCCACGCATGAGGATCGGTGCCATTGAAGAACGGAAGATCGAGACGCGGATAGTGATCGAACGACAACGACCGGCGCTGTTGTGGACGGCCACCAGTCCGATCGCCAGGCTCCGCGGTGCTGTGAGGAGACGAGGACTGCGACGAACGATTGAGAAGCATTTGTAAAGAAGCTTCAATTTTGTCAAAAGACTGAGAATGGTGGATCTGAGCATCCTGAAGAGCGGCGATGGAAGCGACGACGGAGGTCATTTGTTCGTCGACAGCCGACATCTGCTCTTCCAGAACGGAAAGACGAGTATTGTGAGTCTGCTCGGGCGCCATTGTTGCTGGAAGAAAGGCTCTGAATACCACTTGTAAGGACAAAGGATCGTGTATTATTCCAGCGAAGTGAAGAACAGAGTTTTACAGAGAAATGTGGAGTAGGGAAATTGGTAAAGTAGCTATACTAGGCTATACAATTGACATTCGTTTTTCCAGATATCCCTCTAACAATGCTTCCTCTCATTATTTATACTCTTCCTCCTTCCCTGTTGCCAGCTGTACTCCAATCAACCCACCTCCTGCGTCGGGTCATCACATCGACTGTGTCCGTGGCCTCGATCGCCCTTGCTTCCATGTTCAAACCTTGCAAGTCAACCCAGCATCCCGGTTTTCTGAAATGCATCGTGTGCCGTTCCCAATCGACATACGTCGGTGCAAGTTGATTCAGCCATTGAACGCCTAAGATCACGTCGTGTCCTTTGATCGGCAGCTCATATAGTTCTACGACGTTGGGGGTTTTGCCTTGGACGGTGAGATCTACGGCTTTGTAGCAACGCCCACAGTCGAGGGACTCTCCATTGATGACCTTGACCCGAAACTGTGGAATCGGTGTGGCTGTCAAGGACATGGCTCTGGCGACCTCGGCACTCACAAAATTGTGGGAAGAGAAGACGTCAACAAGGGCGATGACTTTCTCGTCCATGAGTTGAGCTGAGAATTGTAGTGTGGCGGAATTGGTGACCCCTGTTAGCGCGCAAAGTGGGATCTTTGCGTCACACGGCTCGTTGGGTGGTTCCAACGGTGGCACACATCTTCTCGCACACCGTTCATCAACGGCGGCGACAGCAGCAGGTGAGGTCTTGACCTCCACCAATTCCTGGTGGACATTTCCTGTCGTCGGCCCTGGGAACTTTGGTGGTGGCGTGGTTGCTCGCGGGACCTCTTCCCAACGTTGGTACTTGCCCCGGGAGATGCAGCAACGAGCTCGGTTCTCTCGAACCATGCTCTGATACCAATTGATGCATTGACGGATCCAGCATCGCAACACAAGAACGATAAATAAACTAAAACAACTAAATTAGGGGTTTTCTTCTTCATTGACTTACTAAAACGTAGAAACAAAGTACATATTTATAGTAGAACCGGAAAACCTAATGATTTACTAATCCTACAAGGACTCGGTAACTTAATCCTAAAGAAACTACCTTAAATACTTTAAGAATTAATACTATTCCTAAACAATAACCAAAACCGACTAATAAATTTAATAATAATAATTATAATGGCCGGTCGAATATGATAATGCATCAATCCTCCCCCCTTCGAAGAACTTCGTCCCGGAATTTCAAGCATCGTCTTAACCCGGATCGATGAAAAAGTTGTTGACGATAACGAAGAAAACAGATGTTCATTGATATCGACCTCGTTTTCGGAACTTCCAAGTACGCCCGGGCAGTCGAACAATTTCAATCTCCACAGCTCCTAAGGACTTCATCAAATGGGTTACTTCAACAAATTCAACTCCTGTATTTGCCAACACCAGGCTACGAATTTCCCCTTCCAAACCCATCCTTCCTTGCATCACGTACACTATTCCACCATGAATATATTTTTGCCTTTGAACTAATAATGCATGAGAAGGTAACTCACCCCACATACGTAGCTCACTGCCAAGTTCATCTCCATCATAACTAGCGCCGCATTTGGGCTTCCTCCACCCCGGAATAGCTTCTTCTTGTCGCCTGAGATTGGTCACAAGCCTCAGGCCCTCTCGAACCTCTTCCTCCAGCACTCGCCTGCATACCTCAGATCTCGCCGGTTTTCGAACATGTCCCACCCTGGAGGGAGAACCCCTCATGCGAACTCCCAAACTCTCCGGAACATCTCTACCCTTTTGATCGGACCTCGACGCAAACGAACCAAAACCCTCCGATGCAACTCCGTACAACAAACCGCCAACCAGTCCTCCCATTCTTGGCCCGATACAGCCGCAAACCGAACGACCATTCTCCGTGATCGTTTGGCGGTCACCACCTTCCAGCGGCTTCTTCCGGTATTTCAAGTTGGCTTGGAGTAGCTCAAAAGAACTTCTTTCAGCATTGACGACGGCAGGCGGGGCGTCCCGCAGCTCCACTAATGGCGGCGATGGCTTGGAAACCCCATCCTCCTCGGCAGTGGTGCGGTTACGCCAGGAATCGGCAGCAGGAGTAGCCCTTCTCTCTCGGGCCTTCTCGACGTCGACAGCAGCTCGCAACTTCGACATCGATGGCTTCGTTGCAGTAGAATTCACTCTCTCCCCGATGAGAAGTGGAACCGGAGCTAGGGTTAGCTCTTCCATTAGGTCCCGCTTCGTAGCAGCAGCGACGGTAGTGGTCTTGTGAGGCGGCGGCGGCGTGACGAGCTTGCCTGCGATCGGGGAAGCCGGGTCCTCGACCGTGTCCGTGGCCTCGATCGCCCTTGCTTCCATGTTCAAACCTTGCAAGTCAACCCAGCGTCCCGGTTTTCTGAAATGCATCGTGTGCCGTTCCCAATCGACATACGTCGGTCCAAGTTGATTCAGCCATTGAACGCCTAAGATCACGTTGTGTTCTTTGATCGGCAGCTCATATAGTTCTACGGCGTTGGGGGTTTTGTCTAGGACGGTGAGATCTACGGCTTTGTAGCAACGCCCACAGTCGAGGGACTCTCCATTGATGACCTTGACCCGAAACTGTGGAATCGGTGTGGCTGTCAAGGACATGGCTCTGGCGACCTCGGCACTCACAAAATTGTGGGAAGAGAAGACGTCAACAAGGGCGATGACTTTCTCGTCCATGAGTTGAGCTGAGAATTGTAGTGTGGCGGAATTGGTGACCCCTGTTAGCGCGCAGAGTGGGATCTTTGCGTCACACGGCTCGTTGGGTGGTTCCAACGGTGGCACACATCTTCTTGCACACCGTTCATCAACGGCGGCGACAGCAGCAGGTGAGGTCGTGACCTCCAGCAATTCCTGATGGACATTTCCTGTCGTCGGCCCTGGGAACTTTGGTGGTGGCGTGGTTGCTCGCGGGACCTCTTCCCAACGTTGGTACTTTCCCCGGGAGATGCAGCAACGAGCTCGGTTCTCTCGAACCATGCTCTGATACCAATTGATGCATTGACGGATCCAGCATCGCAACACAAGAACGATAAATAAACTAAAACAACTAAATTAGGGGTTTTCTTCTTCATTGACTTACTAAAACGTAGAAACAAAGTACATATTTATAGTAGAACCGGAAAACCTAATGACTTACTAATCCTACAAGGACTCGGTAACTTAATCCTAAAGAAACTACCTTAAATACTTTAATAATTAATACTATTCCTAAACAATAACCAAAACCGACTAATAAAGTAATAATAATAATAATAATAATAATAATAATAATAATGATAATGGTTTTTGTTTGGTGTGCATACTAAGGTAATTTTCCATAAGGTCATCCATTCTTGCAATGATCCACTGCGAGCACGTTTAAAATAGTAAACCAATGGACCACTTAAACTGTGGTGGTTCATCTGGTTTTATGTTGAACCGTGAAAAATCGTTTGGTACATCAATAACTTTCCAAGCAATAGATCAGACCACTACCATAACTGGTTTGACAGTTCTACTAGCCCAGCCATTAATCCGGTTCGGTTCTTATAACAATTTCAACCCAAAACGCGTCTTGTCATATAAGATCGGTTTCTTACTTATGAACCATGAATCTCTCCCATGCTTTTGTCGATGTGGGATTCGCTTAAAGTGTTATATTTTATATTTGTTTTCAAGAGGTATTGATGTAAATGAGAAACAAAAAATTGTATTCGTAGCAAGATTGTCAAACCGGTTATACCGTTAGTTGGTTTGGAATGTGTAATGATTCGGCCTGTGATATAACTGGTTTATGCTAGTTCATTCCGATTTTAGCAAAATATGTAGGGGAGTGATAAATCATCAACACTTTATTAGTTTAGACATATATATAAGAAGAAAATCTCTCTAAAATCTACATTCATATTTAAATAAAATATAACATTCCAAGCAAAATAAAAGATCCTTATATTTTAATACAATTCAATAGCACCAACATGCAAAAATTTATAATTGAATCCAACAAATAATATAAACATCTATAGTGTAAACATTCATACTTGAATCCAACAATTAACATCAACATTCAACTTTCAATTCAAGAAACAAAACATCATTTATTCTTTCCTTATAATTTTTTGGTTAATGTCTACTTTTTATCCAAAACTTTTTCAAACCTATTAAAATGCTATTAATTAACCAAATCTTTCACAATGCATCAAAATATTAGCCATTTTTACGTTATCGTTAATAATTTTGTAACTCTTTTCTTACTAAAAATACTAAAATTTTAGAATGTTGACCTTCATGTGTCTCTTTTAAGTCAGTATTATGATGTCAAGTCAATATTGCTAACAAAATTACTAACTGAAAGTTAGCATTTGACTAATTTTTAGTATTTCAATAGATTTGAATAATATAAAAAATCTAATAAATATTTGAATAAAAAATAAACATTACCTTAATTAAAAAAAACCAACATAATTTTGTGTAAAGCTCAAAAATCAATAATGCAAATCATATTGGAATTATTCCACACGACTTTGTGATAGTACCGGTTGAACCCGATTCTACGGGTGGGCTTTGCTTTCGACATGACAACCATGATCGGTAGAAAATCCAGCGGCCACCGACGCGAGGGAAAATTCGAGCCTTCACCCTAACTTACCGTCCGATCTCTTCCTATTTCCTTCTCTGTTCTCTTTTCTCAATCGCATTCTCATCACCATTCCCCTGATTCCCTCCGTAGTCCCCGTTTCACTTCTCCCTCTCGCAAAGCTCGGATCTTCAAAAGCAGCAAATCTAGTCTCCCTCCCTCCATTCTCTCTCAGTAACTCTTGTGAGTTCTTCTCAGCAGCTCCATTAATTCTTTCCCCCTGTGCAGGCTTCTTTGATTTTCTTACTCAAACAAGCATTTATCTTTTCATCTGTTCGTTTGATTGGGTTTTGTGGGTTCTCTCCTGCTCCCAGCCGGATCGCTTGGGCTATCAGATTCACTCCCGGCTCTTGAGTCCTCCATTGACTCGATTCCCCCTGTAGAATTTACTTCCTTCGACACAGGAGCTAGAGCTGAAATTGGTTCTTCCTTCATTTCCTCGGGGCGATTCTCTCATTCTGGGAGGTGGGTTTTGTTAATCAGGGCCTGCTTTGGGTTGGGATCCTTTTTGTGTTTATGAATTTATGGGCGATTTGAAGCTTTTAACCAGACGCCGCCCTGCAATTACTATCCCTTTCGAGCAAATGGAGAGAGGCAATGGCAAGAACCAGCAGAACCGTCTGTGTATGTTGGCATCCCTCTCTGCTTTCTTTTGGATTCTGTTGCTCTACTTCCATTTCGTTGTGTTGGGAGGCCGTACCGGTGGCGGTGATGAATCATCGCTCAGATTACAGTCCAATCCGCCGGTGGTCGTCGATCCCAGAATCCCAGTCCCCGTCCGCGTAGTTGAAGAGGCCCCGCTACCCAAAATCGCCGCCGCCAAAGAAGAAGTTGTTACCCCTCGTGTCACTGAACAGCAGCAGCAGCAGCCCAAGACTTTCCCCTTCATGAGAGCTCTGAGAACCTTAGAAAACAAGACCGATCGGTGCGGTGGGAGGTATATCTATGTCCATGATTTGCCTTCACGGTTTAATGACGACATGTTGAAGGAGTGCAGGAGCCTGAGTCTGTGGACCAATATGTGCAAGTTCACTACCAATGCTGGCATGGGCCCTCCATTGGAGAATGTGGAAGGTGTGTTCTCCAACACTGGCTGGTACGCCACCAATCAATTTGCCGTGGATGTGATCTTTAGTAACAGGATGAAGCAATATGACTGCTTGACCAATGATTCTTCTCTCGCTGCTGCGATTTTTGTGCCCTTCTATGCTGGTTTCGATATCGCAAAGTACCTTTGGGGATATAACATTTCGAGGAGGGATGCTGCTTCTCTTGATCTGGTTGATTGGCTTATGAAGAGGCCTGAGTGGAAGATCATGCAAGGTCGGGATCATTTCCTGGTGGCTGGGAGGATTACCTGGGATTTCAGGAGGCTCTCTGATGAAGAAGGTGATTGGGGGAATAAGCTTTTGTTCTTGCCTGCTGCAAAGAATATGTCAATGCTTGTTGTTGAGTCCAGCCCTTGGAATGCAAATGATTTCGGGATTCCATATCCGACCTATTTCCATCCTGCTAAGGATGCTGATGTGTTTGTTTGGCAAGACCGGATGAGGAAGCTGGAGAGGAAGTATCTCTTCTCTTTTGCTGGGGCGCCACGTCCTGGCAACCCCAAGTCTATCAGAGGCCAGATTATAGATCAGTGTAGGGGTTCTAAGGTGTGTAAGCTGTTAGAGTGTGATTTTGGGGAGAGCAAGTGTCACTCTCCCAGCAGCATAATGCAGATGTTTCAAAGCTCCCTTTTCTGTCTGCAACCTCAGGGAGATTCATACACAAGAAGATCAGCTTTCGATTCCATGTTGGCAGGTTGCATTCCTGTCTTCTTCCATCCCGGGTCAGCATACACTCAATACACATGGCATCTCCCTAAGAACTTCACTACGTATTCTGTGTTCATTCCGGAAGACGATATCCGGAAAAGGAATGGTAGCATCGAGGAACGGCTTAGTCAGATTCCTCCCGAGCAGGTTCAGATCATGAGGGAGAATGTTATAAACCTCATCCCCCAACTCATATATGCAGATCCTCGGTCGAAGTTGGAGACCCTCAAAGACGCGTTTGATGTTGCTGTCCAAGCTGTGATTGACAAGGTGACAAGGTTGAGAAAGAACATCATCCAAGGCCGAACTGAGTACGACAATTTTGTGGAGGAGAATAGCTGGAAGTACGCCTTGCTGGAAGATGGCCAACGGGAGGCTGGATGGCACGAATGGGATCCGTTCTTCTCGAAACCAAAGGGCGAAAGTAGTGGTGATAGTTCTACTGGTTCATCAGCTGAGGCGGCGAAAAATTCATGGAAAAACGAGCAAAGGGATCAGAAATGATGTTGAAGGTAGAGTATCAAATGAATCAATGAACTATACAGAAACAAAGCAGAAGCTAGAGTGGTTCCCTAGACCCAAGCATTGCGGTAATCTTTTTCATGGGAAGCAGACCTTGCCTTTGGTTAGAATAGCTACAGCATTCTTGCACTAGATGAGACCTTGAGCAGGGTTACAAATTGAGGTTGTAACTTGTAAGTGTTACATATGTGGTCAAAGCTGCTTTCTTTATCAAGTCAACAAGAAAGTAGATTCTCTGAGCTGCCTGAACCTATACTTTTGTGATTCCATAGGAAACTCTTATTTACAGTTCCAGCGCTGGCTTTTCGGGTTTTTGATTACCTCGGCTGGCGATTCTTTGTAATTTTTGTTGTGGTGGGTGTAGCAAAGTGTCATCTTTTCGTACTTTTCTGGTCCATGTCATGATGTAACAAACAAGGCAATAGATTCCACTGTTAAATGAAACAATATACTTTTGAGCTTTTATCATCACTGGGAAGTAGAAAGTCTGTGTCCTCTAACCTTCGACTGAAGATTTATCAAACTGTCGCATTGCCCATAGTTAGCCCGACTGCACAACAGCAGCCATGGAGCAGCTTTGCAGATTGCTTTTCGTGGCCAAAAAAGATCCAAGGTGCCATCCTCCAGGTTTATGGCTCGTGTCCTCTTACTATTTTCATGGAGGGTCTGAGCTCTGCACATGTGATGGTGTTGTTACCATTGTTATTTGTTAAACGCCAAGGCTTGTAGCGGAGGTATATATAGTTGGCCGTGTCAATCTTCAGTTTCTTGATTACCAAGGTGCATTTACCACGTGACAACAAATTTGATTGTGATTTCGTGGGAGAGGATACCCTCCAGGATAATTAGCATAAATTTCCTTAAAAAAAAAAAGAGAGGATAATTAGTATAAATGTAAAGGAACTCACAGCGTGAGGTTTCTATTATTGATGTTCAGCTTTTATAATACAATGGAAGGTAATTGTGCAGCGGAAATCAAGTAACAGCAAGAGCAAATAAAGGAGGATAGCAACGGTCCACTACTGGTCACTAACAACAGACGTAACAACAATGGAGAGACTTGTGGAACATTCTTCTCATTATCACGCCCCCGCAAGTTGAGGCTCGGTGAGGTGAAACTTGGAGCAAAAACGGGTGAAGGACACACGAGGCAGAGGTTTTGTGAGAACATCGGCAAGTTGATCAGTCGCGGGAAGATAATGAACACACAGCTGATCCTTGCTTACTTGATCACGGACAAAGTGGAACTCAATCTCCATATGTTTAGAACGACTGTGAAAGACTGGATTGTGAGTGAGGAATGTAGCGCCAAGATTATCACACCATAGGACCGGAGGAGAAGGAATGGACTGGCCTAGCTCGTGAAGTAAGGTGCGAAGCCAAAGAACCTCGGAGCCTAGAGTGGCCAGGGTACTGGCATTCAGTGGACGAGTGAGCGACCGCCTTTTGTTTCCGAGTGGACCAGGACACCAGGTTCGACCCGCAGAAGACAACAAACCCGGTAATTGACTTTCGATCCTTGGGACAACTCGCCCAAGAAGCATCGGAGTAACCATGGATATGAAGAGACGAAGAACGAGAGAATTCCATACCGCGATTAATGGTGCCCCTGAGATATCGAAAAATTCTCTTTACGGCAGCCCAATGTGTGTCAGTAGGAGCATGTTGTACTGGGAGACATGATTGACGGCGAAGGAGATATCCGGTCGAGTGAAACTAAGATACTGGAGACCACCAATCAGACTTCGATAGAGGGACGGATCAGCGAACATGGGGGAGTTGTCCTGCGCAGCCTGCTAAATGATGTCAAGGGTCAGGGGGTTGAGATAGTATTGGCAGCAGACATAGTGGCACGGTCGAGCAAGTCAAGTATAAACTTGCGTTGGCTGAGGACTATGCCGGAGGAAGTCCGATGAACTTCAATGCCCAGGAAATATGACAGAGGGCCCATCTCACGTAGGGCAAAGTTGTCTCGAAGAAACACCATTAGCCGCTGAATAGTGGAGTCGTCATTCCCGGTGATGACGATGTCATCGCCATAGACCAACATATAGATACGCACTAAGGAGGACTTGTAGATGAACAGAGACGGATCAGTTCGTGAAGCTGAGAAGCCAAACCGGCCAAGGGCTGCTGCAAGACATTGAAACCAAGTTCATGGCGCCTAGCGCAAACCGTAAATCGATTTGCGAAGGCAAAAAACGTAATCAGGCCTTTCGAGGTCGACAAAACCGGGTGGTTGCTGCATATACACAGTTTCCTGCAGCTATCCATGAAAATAAGCATTAGCTATATCAATTTGGTGAAGAGGCCATCCCTGTGTTACCGCAAGGCTGAGAATGAGACGGAGAGTGGCCGGTTTAAGAACCGAACTGTATGTCTGATCGAAGTCCAACCCCGGAATTTGCTCGAACCCACGAGCAACCAGCCGAGCACGGTGACGGTCGAGACTGCTATCAGGATGGACCTTCGTGCGATACACCCATTTATTGGAGAGTATGTTACAATCTGGCGGCGCAAGAACTAAGTCCCAGGTGTGATTTCGGATTTGTGCGGAGACTTCGTCGGCCATAGCGGCGCGCCAATGGGGAAGGCGGAGGGCCTGAGCCACTGTGCGAGGCGTATCATCAGTGGGGAGCTGGGAGTGAAGGGCTTTTGGTTTGAGGTGGTTGGTTTTAATCCGGGTTACCATAGGGTGAAGTGAGCTGGTGGGGTTGACAATTTGGAGAGGACGAGGGGATGTGGTAAATCTAGGGCGGGATGGAAGAGGTCTTGAAGGAGGTAGTGGGGTGGGACGAGAGGAAGAGGGAACGGGAGAGGGTGAGGTGGAGGATGGGGCGGTCGCCGCGGGAGGAGGGCGGCGACGGTGATATTGTAACATGGGCTTGGGTGGATTGGAACGCAGCGGAACAGCTGGGGATGTGAGGCGTGGGGAAGGGGAGGTTGGCAGATCAGGGGAAGCTTAGGGTGGGGATGGGCCGGGTAAAGGGTCTTGGGCAGTAGGCTGACTAATGATAGTGGGCTGGGTTAATGGAATGGATGTGGGCCGAATGGCAGGGGCGGGGCATGGGAATGGGGGTGGTGAGGGAAGAAGTATTGGGCTGGGAGACCGTGGGGGAACAGAGGGTGTAGGGTGGGAAATTAATTCAGCAAATGGAAATCTGGATTCATCAAATAAAACATGCCGATTGATATAGATGCGGCCAGTAGCAATGTTCAGGCAACGATAACCCTTATGGAGTTTACTATAGCCAAGAAAAACACAAGGAAGAGAGCGAGATTCAAGTTTATTTGACGTAAGAGGACGAAGCCAAGGATAGCAGAGACAGCAAAAAACACGAAGATTGGAGATATCAGGAAGACGTTTAAAGAGGAAGTGAAATGGAGAATCATGATTGAGCAAGGGCGTGGGAGGGCGATTGATGAAATAGCAGGCAGTGTCAAAGGCGAGAGGCCAATATTTTTGTGGAACCTGAGCATGATGAACAAGGGCAAGACCGTTATTCACAATGTGACGATGCTTGCGTTCAACACACCCATTTTGTTCAAGGGTATAAGGACAAGAAGAGCGATGAGCAATACCATTATCGAGTAAATACGTGGATAACGCTTGATACTCACCACCCCAATCAGTCTGGAAAGTTTTGATGGGTGTACCAAAATACTTTTCAACCAATTGCCGAAATTGTTTAAAAACATTGAGGAATTGAGACTTGTAACGAATGAAGTAGATCCATGAAAACTTGCTATAATGATCATTGAAAAGAATATAGTAGGATTGGCCATCGTAAGAAGGAGTAGGAGCAAGGCCCCAAACATCACTACAAACCAGTTCAAGAGGAGCAGAAGCACAAAATGTTGATGAAGAAAATGGCAGTTTGTGAATCTTACTAACTGCACAACCATGACATAAGAAAGGGGAAGTGGGAAGAAATTTTATTTTATGATGATTAAGAGCCTGCTTGACATAACGTTCGTTGGCGTGACCGAGACGTTGATGCCAAACATGCAAGGTAGCCACGCAAGCAAGCGGAGACAGCCGACGAGAAATTTGAAGAGGAAGTGCATAAAGGCCATCGACTGCATAACCGTGGTAGAGCTCATTCCCCGTGAGTCGTTCCTTGATGACAAAAAGAGTGTCAAAAAATTCGATGGAGATTGGATTAGTACAAGTAAGAGAGCTAATGGAAAGAAGATTGAAAGGAGCATTACGAACACGCAGAATGTTATCCAAGGAAATAGAAAAATTGGATAAAGAAGTTTTAGAAGCACCATAATGGGAGATAGGAAGAGAGTTACCATTTCCAAACGTGACCTGACCAGTTCCATTATATTCAGAATGATGGGCAAGATTGTCTAAATCAGACGCCAAGTGATAATTTGTACCATAATCCAATAACCATTGCTGTGGGTTGAAACTTGGGCCGAGGAAGAGGCAAAATGGGTATATGGGCTTGGGAAGGGGGAGTTAGAGCCATAATGGTAGGCCGACCCAGCAGAGGAGGCAGATTGGGCCGAGAGAGTGGAGGGGAGGAAAGGACTTCGGCAATTAGGTTTAATATGCCCTCTCTCGCCGCAGTTGTGACAAACAACCATCACACCAGTGGACGAGGCCCAAGAACGCCATTAGTGGGATTGGACCTGTTAGAAGACACAAAATGATTAGTCATAAAACGGCCACCGCAGAAGGAGCCCCAACCACGGCCTCACCCGCCTCGTCTATGAGAGCCACCAGTGTTGGAGAAGAAGGCGGTCGACACAGGAGATTCAGTGTGCGAGGAATATCGTTGAATCTGAAGCTCTTCACTGAGCAGGAGAGAGTGGAGGTCTTCGAAGATTATGGGTTCCATATGCGCCTCGATGTGCCTCACGATGGGCGATAATCTTCGCCCAATCCATCAAGGATCCAACCGGTAAGATGATCGTTGGAAATCTGAGAACTAGAGCTGCCAATTGATCGACGGTGGCCTTAGCGCCCTGAAGATAATCATGAATAGTGGCGGTGCCCCGACGAAGATGTTGCAGAGATTTGGTGAGATGCCGAATTTGATATTTTGACCCTGAGGCGTAGATCCGGGCTAACACTGAGCACGCTTCATAAGCCGTGGCTTTGTTGATAACATTTGGCAGCACCGCTTCAGAGAGGGAGAGATTGATCCAGGTAAGGGCATATTGATCGCGGTCATAACCTTGCCAGTAAGCAGGGTTGGGACTGTCGTCGACGAGCTGTGGGGGAGTAGGAAGAGAGCCATCAACGTGACCCATCAATCGATGACAGCTGAGGAGAGGAGTAATCTAAGCATGCCATAGAAGGTAGTTTGTCGATGTGAGCATGAAGGACAGATGTGGATTGGCCGGAAGAGATAAGGAAGACATCGGCAGGGAATTGGAACCAGCAGCGGCAGAGGTGGATGAAACAGAGGATGATTCAGTAGCCATTTTGCAGAAGGAAGAAGAATCAGGAGATGAAAGAAGAAGAAGAAAGAAAATAGGTTTGACTCGTTAGAGAATTTTGGGCTCTGATACCATAAAGGAACTCACAGCGTGAGGTTTCTATTATTGATGTTCAGCTTTTATAATACAATGGAAGGTAACTGTGCAGCAGAAATCAAGTAACAGTAAGAGCAAATAAAGGAGGACAACAACGGTCCACTACTGGTCACTAACAACAGACGTAACAACAATGGAGAGACTTGTGGAGCATTCTTCTAATTATCAAAATGGTCACCTACCTTTGGATTTCTTTCAGAAGAGTTACAAAATTCCAACTCGTTCAATTTTGTCCATTTTCATCCAAATTTTTGTCCAACTTGTCACAGCCACTCCGAGCATCTCCACTATTTGAGTGCTGTTGAGGTTCAAAGATGGTTACACAGTGACTGGCAACTCCAAATCACTCATGTTTATAGGGAAGTGAATATGGTAGCCATAGGTGTCAATCGGGCGGGTTCGGGCTGGGTTCAATCGGGTTCGGGTTCAAATGTGTTGCGGGTTAGTCGGGTTGCGGGTTCATCGGGTTCGGGTTCAATAGGGTTGCGGGCAAATCGGGTTGCAGTTTCATCGGGTTTTGGGTCGGGCGGGTTGCGCGCAAATCGGGTTTCGGGTTGTTCGGGCCAGCGCATCAATTTGTATGACTTGCTAACTTGTTATGTAATTAATCATAATTGGTAAAGTACACTAGTTAATAGTAATGGTGATATCAATATTTGCAACCAAAAGACCCCATTAATTGTTTATTTGATATTTTTGTATTAATTCAGTAGTAATTGGATTAAAGTATCTCGTTTAGTATAACCATGCAAATCTGGTATTTGGCGTGTGGTATTTGGCAAAAGCGAAGTGATAAAAGGAGTTATTTCGAAATAACTCATTGCCCAAATAACTTCTATAAACTATATACATAGCTAGACTAGATAAGATATCTATATATATAGGAGTTATGACAGATTCCTATATATAGCTATAAAATAAGAAAGATTAGCACAAACACTGAAACATGATAACAATGTTGTCAAACTGATGATTTTAAGAATTTATAAAACATAGTTCAAAACCCTTTACTCAGAATATATAATCACCTTTAAATGAAATAAAACATTCCAAACAAAATAACAAATATTCATATTTAAATGCAACATTTAACATCAACACCCATACTTTTATATTTGAATCCAACAAATACCATCAACTTTTAGTTTTAAAATTTATAAAATAAATCTCAATTTAAATTTTTTATCAATTAAATTCACTAAAATGATATTTATATGTCGAAAAATAGATCATGTTGGCCATTCACACTAATTTTGAAACCGATATTGGTTGATCCAGATTCAACCGACCGACTTTCCATCAGTCTAACAAGACAACCATGTATAATACACCCGACCAAAGTCCGGGCACCAATCTAGTTATTATTATGTGTGTTTTAATTATTAAGTGTTTGAGTCATATTAAGATAGTCTATTAGGTTTTCCGGTCTTTAGCTATAAATATGTAATTTGGGTCTTTTGTTCGGATAAGGAGAAATCTGTAAAAGAATTATCTTCCCAAACCCTAAGCTCTCCCTATCTCCTAATTTCTCTTCTTCCCTAATCCAAGGCTTCAGCCGATTCTTTATTCTGTTCTTCCTCTCCTAATCTCAATCCATAATTCTGTTCGTATAAATCCTAATCCCCAAATATCAAATCCGAAATAGCCTTGTTTCTATAAGATAAGCAGAAAATTCTCAAGCCTAAAGCTCAAAGAATAGGAATAAATCAATAGGGTTCAAAAACTTACTAAAAATCGTGTTTACAACCCCTTTATCTATTCTCGGGAAAATACAATAACCAAACACATAGAAAAGGAACGAAATTCTAAACTGAAAAGGTAACTTGAACTCGTCAGCGTCCCGATCCCCGTAAACCATCTTCAGATCCCTGGTCGGGGAACTCAACCTTCATGACTGGGGGTTCTTTTGGACTAGATCTCCCATAATGAATAACCTCTCGATCATATTGTCATAGACGTTCCAATAAGATATGAGCAACTTGCATTGGAGCAACATCACACCAAATTTCATTCGCATACTCATCAATCTGGAAACAAACCTTGGCCTTCTTGTTGACATTGATAGCTCCATAGTTGTTCAACCAATACAGATTGTAGGGTTGAGGATGTTTGATGGTGCTCAATCCCAACTTCTTGATTGCATTCAGACTAACTACATCGGTGTAACTACCACCATCGATAACCACCGATAACACTTTCTCGTCAACCAAGCAACGAGAGTGGAAAATATTATCCCTCTGCTTTGTCTTTGTATAAGCTTCAATAGATAAAGCTCTACGATTTACTCCAAGAAGTTTACTTGATGGAGGTTTTCCAACCGTTATGTGCTCATCAAGTTACCTTATGGAGGTTTTTCAGCCGTGAATGTGCTCATCAATATCATCATCAGAATTAGAGTCGATTCTCTTCCCCATGGGCTTCTCTTTATACTCCTTCTCGGAAAAGTATTCTCCATCTCGTAAGACTAGAGCCTTCTTGGGCACTAGTTTGCCTTGAGATCTCATCCCAAGCACTTGAGGCATTAGATTCTTTTAGTGGATCATTAATTTCTTGTATGGACGATGGGGGGTCGTGTTCCTAGCAGCTGGCTTGTCACCTTCTTGTCTAGGTAATTCATATTAGCCTAAGGAATGCTCTCTGTAACATGTTTGGGCGAAGGTGGGTACCTTCTTCCCGACCTCACCTTCAACTGCCTCTCTACCTTCATAGCCAAATGCACCACATTCTCCAACTCCACGAATTGACGAGGCTCGATTTCTTGCTTGATCTTTCTATTGAGCCCCATGTAGGAAACGAAGAAATCGTTGCTTACTTTTCCTCCCTCACATCTGCTCTCATCAAGAGCAGATCCAGCTCCTTGGAATATTCATCAACCGATCATGCTCTTTTTAAAATTCCTTGGAGGGAATCATGAAGCTCTCTATGATAGAACGGAGGCACAAACCGATCACGCATCAAACTTCTGAGTTCTTCCCAAGTAGAGACAACATGCTGCAGATTTCTTCTTCATCAAAGCTGACCTTGTTCCCACCGAACTGCTACATAATCTATAAACTCATAGGTAGCTACCAGAACTTTCTGATGCTCTAGGTAAAGATTTCATTGAAAGAATGAAATCATCTTCCTCTCCCATTCGAGGTAAGCCGAAGCACTACTAGATCCTTGAAATGACGAGATTGAGAGTTTAATCCCTCGAATCGGATCACCGCCATATATAGCCTCCTTGTTCTAGTGATCTTCCACCATGATTATGGTAATCATCCTCAAAGTCATTAGACAGAGGTCTGTACTGAGTGATTACCTAACAACGATGCCCCGTTTTTTGACGCCTCTACATCTGCCAATCTAGGGTCTCAGGAAAAGGTAAACTCGATATGCTCTTGGACCCTCTCAGTTCTCAACTCCAGTTTAAGTTGCTACAACCACTGGATTCTGTAGTGGTTTAGCCATTGGTTGCATCTCCAACCTGGTGATTAGGATATCTAGGCACTTATTAGTCTCAACCAACTGACCTTTGGTGACATCATGCTATGTCTCAAGCAAGGCTCCCATATGCGCGATAAGCACTGCTTAGCTTCTGCAAGACTCTGTTCTCTCATGGCTTGTTCTTCGATTAAGGTTTCTTCTTCAGATAGCAATTCTTCCTCTTCTCTGTGTTCTGCAATGGGGTCTTTGGACCTCGTACGAGAAGAAATAGGTCACCTCACTTGCGATCTCGCCTGATAGAAACCTTTTGTTTCTATTATTATAGTTACCATTATTAGGATTATTCTTATGGTTAGTAAAATTAGGTTTATTATTAGGTTTTCTAGATATTTTCCTATAAATATGTATTTGAGTTATTCATTCAGATCAATAAGAAGAATAATAAGAAAAGTCTTCCTAATCCCCAAATATCAAACCTGATAGGAACTTTGTTCCTATCATTTTGTATCAGAGCATTGATGAGTACATCACGACTCATCGTTAAGGAACTGTTGGACCAGTTGGAGCGACACTAGAAGCCATCTGACTAGAGAAGACGACGGCGGTTGGTGGCTCGACGGGCGCTCTTGCAGCCGTTCGAACGAGTACGGGACCCAAGACACGACCGAATGATGCCATTTCCGCAGCGATGACGAGGCGGATGAGGAGATTCCGGTCAACGAGGGTTCCGGCGCGGAGGCGAGGTGATGGTTCTGGAAGGAATCACCAAGGAGGAGAATCTGGCTCAAATCCTCCTTGCCGCCGGTGGAACTACTTGATGCCTAAAAGGAAGACGGATCAAGGGATTCGCGCGGCCGTTCTGGGCATGCCAAGGACTACATATCCAGTGGGGGCGTTAGTCACCGAAAAGACGAAGTAGGAGTTGGAGTCGGAGGCGAGTGGCGTGTAAATGGGCTTACCTTACCTCCATCGGATGGGCTGGTCACTATTGGAGGGATCGTTTCCAGACACAGAAGCGAAAGGAGAGCCGCCATCGATGAAGGAGGAAGACGGTGGTCTCATCTCTCCCGCACGCGAACCCTCGTATTCTCTGGGATGGCCAATACAGCGTCAATCCTCGTTGGTCTTGGATGTAGTGATGGCAATGTGGCAGGGCGGGACGGGTACCTCAATTCCCTTGCCCCGCCCCACGCTACTACTGGGCGGGGCGGGGTGGGTCGACCCACTCTTACATGTTATTCGAAAAAAATACAGGTAAATTTACTTTTTACGATAAAACGAAGGAAAAAACACGTTAAGAATGAAAATAGTGATAATAGAATGGGTAATTGAGTCTAACAAGTTGAAAGATCGACTTTAACTAGTTGAAGAAAAGGCAAAAGAGGAGAAATATGTATAGATGCTTAAAGAAATTGAGATAAAATGAGTCTAGAATGAGGCAGGGTGGGTCGGGTCGGAAGTAGATACCCATGCTTCACCCCACGCTACTGCGGGTCGAGTAATACCCACCCCATCGTGCGTCAGGTAGGGTAATACTCGCAGGTTGAGTTGAAATTGCCATCACTACTTGGATGTGGCAGTCCGAACTCACAAATGGAAAGGGCCAGGTTTTGGACCCGAGGAACTGAGGGTTAGCAAGCCAAATAAGAAAAATGATGTAAGCCGATCTGATCAATTGGGTGGGCTGATGAAGAGGGAGGCATGGGTTTCTCTTGGAACAATTATTGGACCTAAAATGGGCTTTCTCAAAAGGGATTTTTGGATGGTGTTAGGCCAAACCCAATTGTTGAGAAAAGCCGGCCAATTACGGACCACAAGATGGCTCATGAGAAGAAACTCGTCAGCCTAGAGCTGGGAACAAAATGGGTTGAGCAAGGGCGGTGCTCCGGGTCGATAGAACGGTACAATAGGTTTCATTGGAGAGATAGGCTACTTGGGTCTCGAATTGAGCCACGTTGATATGAGTTCAAAGAATTAGAAGACATGCTTATTGGATTAGAACAATGTCCAATCAAGGACGAGGTTGAGCAAAAGGAAGCAATGATTGGATCCATGGGAATGAAATTTATATTTTTGGCTCATAATAAGATAATCAGAGCAAGGAGTCTTAGGTCGGAGATGGAGCATAATTGGAAGAAAAGGGAGCTCAAAAATTGTAGAAGCAACGATCGAATTGGGCAGGAAGGTTGGAAGAAATGGGTCAAGTCGGTCAATCTTGTGGGCAATGTTGGTCTTAAGGGGATGATAGAAACCTTCTGTTTCTATTATTATTATTATTATTATTATTATTATTATTATTATTATTATTGTTGTTGTTGTTGTTGTTGTTGTTGTTGTTGTTACCATTATTAGGATTATTCTTATGGTTAGTAGTCTTTTAAAAGAATTAGGTTTATTATTAGGGTTTCTAGCTATTTTCCCATAAATATGTATTTGGGTTAGTCATTCAAATCAATGAGAAGAAGAATAAGAAAAGTCTTCCAAATCGTAATCTCTCTATCCTCTCAATTCTTCTAAGGCCTAGATAATTCTCTATCTTTATCTTCTTCTTTTCCAAATCCCAATCTCGATCTCTGTTCGTATAAATCATAATCCTCAAATATCAAACTCGATAGAAACTTTGTTCCTATTATAACCACTGTATTGAACTGTGACTCTGATACCACCTGATACGAGCACAAAACCGATACCAGTAGCTATCAACGTCACGTAGTTTCAAGAATGAGCAAGAAATATTATTTTTAGTGTTTTTGTTGTGATATGATGGAATTGAAAGTGCAATCTCAACACAAAATGGGAGAAGGCTCTAACAATATAAAAGGACAGAAGTATGTCCACAATTAAGGGGAAAACTTGATTGATACAAAGCAGAAAATTCTCAAGTCTAAAACTCAAAGAACATGAGTAAATCAATAGAGTTCAAAAACTAATTAAAACTCGTGTTTACAACCCCTTCATATAGTGTTGGGCAAATAAAATAACCAAACACACAGAAAAGGAACGAAATCCTAAACCGAAAAGGTAACTTGAACTCGTTAGGTACCGATCCAAAATCAGCCATCTTAGGATCGCCGGTGGGGGAACTCAACGCTCATGGCCGGGGGGGTCTTCTGGACTAGATCCCCGGTTGACGTCCGTGATCCCCGATCGTGGATTTGCCCTTCTTGCATGGTTGTCATGCCAGTGGTATGCCACATGGAAAGTTAAACAACCATAGTATCCACATGGAAACATCCAGAGTGTCAAATACTAGGAAGGAAGAAGGATAGAAACTGGTACTTGGAACAAAAAAACTTACCACTATAGAGAGAATCCGATGCAACGATTTCACATGGCTGAGCAATCCAGCTCCTTCAATAAACACCCATCTCTGCCCATCCACAAAATTATAGGAATCTCGTGTTAATGAGTAGTCGAACAATGGATGAAACCAGAACTCATACAAGGGAAAGAAATTAAGGACCTATATAGCTGGTGTGAGTGAAGGCCGTGACACGAGAGGAATCAAAATCATGTGAAAAAGCACTGAAATCCTCCACCGTGCCTAAGATTTCACAACCACCATCTTCGCCAACCAATCTAAACTTGCAAACCTTGAACTGGCTCCGCAGTTCGTACGTAGTAAGTCCCCACCAAAGAAAAAGACAGTAGACATCACCATCTCCAAAAGGAACCACCCTTGCGTCCCCAAATTTACAATCATCCGGTACAAGACCAAGAGCATAATCAGAAAGATAACGCATATCCCTAATCTTGTGTTGCTCCTGCTGCAGCAGCAGATGATCATAACTCGCCGAAGGATTCGACACGTACTTAACACGGATGACTTGGAAGGGGCGATGATCCGGCATGCTCACCATAAACAACCGACCATTGTGAACAAGATTCGAACAGTGCGCCTCAGGAAGCCGATCCCATGGGTACATCATCAGCATCATGTTGGGGATCATAGGTGAGATGTCATCATGATCAGCATGTTCAGTCATGATTGGACGCCACTTTAGCTCTTCCATGTCAAGAGCAAACACAGAGGAGCCAACAAAAGTGTGCATATAAACAATCAATTCCCTCCCTACAACTACATGACCCAGGTAATCTGGAAGCCCATTGTACCATTGGATCAAATTGGGATCCCACATATCCAATGGCAGATCAACGATTTGCGTGGACATATCCTTGAGGTCCAAAACCTCACAAGGAGCATAGAGGTCGTTGAACGACATGGGGTCGTAAACCCTCGACAAGATGAAAATCTTGTCATTGTAAGGAACGTGGATCGGCTCGACCTTGGGTCCCTTCAGCAGAGCTGGGTATTGCTGAAACTTGAGTGGTTGTTGTTGGATGTCGGGGTCCGTTCCAAGATCGCAGACGAATACATCTCGCGGATATTTCCAGTACGAGAAGCCATCATCATCAGAATCGTCATTGCCAGAAGGAGAGGTATTTATCTGACGACCACCAAAAGCATATAATTTCGAATCCACGACTGCGAGACCCATAGTCGAGAATTTACCGCGAAAATCGCAGTTGGGGGCGACGACGGTGGCGGTGCGGATAGTGTCGTTGTTGTCATAGGAGGCCGCCGTCTTGTTTTTTCGACCCATCAGAGCGACGGTCACCTTCTTTCTGGAACCAGAAACAATTCCACTATCCCACCACCTCCGCCGCGGCTTCTTGTGCGCCGGCGACTCTACCGCCGAGTCCGAGTCCGAGGACATTGTTTGGCTTTACCCTAACCTCACCAAAGAATCAACAACGAGGGTAAATTCGTCTGCGTTTACTCCGTCTTGCTTTCTACCGATTGAAGGGCTTGAGTTCAAGTATTTAAGACTCATTTTTTAAAGAAAATCTTAAAGTCTTCCTATTTGTTGATAGTGGATTAGGTAGTTAATGGGTTTAGTAGTTAATAGGTAGTTAAGGGTAAATAGGGTTATGCAAATATAATTAAAATTAATATAATTAATGATTCTCTTTCTCTCTCCTCTCATGATTTTCTCCATAACCCTCTTTCTACATTATAATTAAAAAGAAATATGAAATTAATTTTATTTAATATTTACTAAAATCCGAATTTAATAATTTTCTTTTTCTAAAATGGAAATTTGAAATTTAAAATTTAAAATATATGCCTCTCTCACATCTTGGCAACTTCCGATTAGTATTAAGTATTAACATTTTGTAATGACATTATCAATATTTATAAATTGAACCATCATTAGGGCTTTTTATTGCATGGGTTTGAGATTTTTCATTGTTAGATATTCGTTTGTGTTCTTATTAATGTTGTTTGACATGTTTTTTTAATAATTCTATATGACATTATTAACTTTTTGGATTTTGCTACGGTGACATGGACTTTTCGGTCGACCTAATCCAACGTGCGGTCGACCGAATGGACTAATTCATGTATGTGGGGTTCCGAGACGCGGTCGACCTCTTACATAATACGGTCGACCGCTTTGGTGGGCTAACAGAATGAAAGGTCGACCCAAATATCTCATAGGCCGACCCTTGTGCACCTAACAGGTCGACCGCATTATGAAGAGGTCGACCGCATTCACGCCGTATCCGTAATATTGGATATGGATTCCAACACCAGAAAGGTTCCACAATTGGACAAGGAAACGAATTGGGTCGACCCATTGACGTCCTAAATCTCTATAAATACGAATACAAGTCCCCTTCAACGCCTCCAAGTCTGAATTAGGTTTTTTTCCGATTAAGAGCCTTTGTGAAGAAGATCGTTCGCGGTTGTTGTTGTACGCGTTGGAAGTGGTCGACCAGGTCTAAGGTGAGGTCGACCTAATGTACCATTCATCGTCTTCTTTTCTAATGCGTGATTTCTACCGGCTAATTTGATATATTGTTGGGTGCAGAATTCTATTCGGTCGACCATGACGTCAACCAGGTCGACCTGACGAGACAATTCTGCGTATTTGAATTTAGGCCACAACACTTGGATTTCTGTACTTGCGAGGTAACCCAATTGGTCGACCTAATGGGTTTCAAGGTCGATCGTTCCTGTTTTTTTGGTTATTCAACCTGAATGTCGACTTTGGCTTTGATTGTATGACTATGTTGTGCTTGAAAAGGTCGACCGCGCCAGATATCTGGTCGACCTATCCTTTTTTCGGTTTAATTTTGAACTTACTTTTTGTTGTTAATTGTTATTTTCCTGCTGGATAGGTCGACCTAGGAATAACAGAGGTCGACCTTAATGGTTGTGGTAGTCACTATTTGTCTTCCAGGTCGACCTAATACTTTGTCAGGTCGACCACGTCTTTGTTTTTTGGTCAATTGTAGAAATTTGTAGTTGAATTATGATATAAATTTTTCTTGAAATTGTTTAGACAATGACGCATGATGAGAAATTGCATCAAGATTTGGGTGAAATCATGAAATTGTTGAAAGCCACACAAGAGAAGCTGGTGGTGTGTCAAACACAAGTCAATGACTTTCAGAAGTCCATGTGTGATAGAGTGGAGCAATTGTCAGTTCGACTGACAGATATGACTGGGATGATGCATGACGGGTTTGAGAGGCTAGAAGGTGCTATCAAAGATATAATGTAACACCCCGACATTTGGTTTTAGGTTCGACCAAACGATTGGATCGTCGATTACATTTGAAAGGGTGGATCAACCGTAAGTTATAAATAATAATAGCAATAATGATGATAATAATAATATTATTATTATTATTATCACTGCCGTTTCCCATCAGCAACATAAACACAATTAATATGATGATTATTATGATAATCATCTTTGCCCTCACCACTCACCCGTTACCTTTTCCCCAGCAGACTCTCAACCCCAAAACCCTTACCATCCCAACCCTAGACCCAACATATATATATTCAGCAAATAAACCTCCCACTCCCTAAAGACACCTAGCGCCGCAGCAGAAGAGAAAAGAAAAGAAAAAGTAGCCGCACGAGAGCAACAGCAACCGCCGATCCCTACCCCAGATGCTAGCCTGAACGCCACCATCACCATCCTCGACGTCAGTTGTAGGGGTAAGGTTCTCGATCACATCCGTCCCTAAGGCCTTTTTAAAGCTTCGACTAACCCGATGAATGGCCACTATGATCGTAGCCCCGACGACAATCCCGGCATAGCCGACTTCGACCATTCGTCAAGTGGTGGGTATCATCTCGTAGAGGGCAATCCCAGGGTCATCACCGCGTCGACGAAATCGGATTCCGACGTCAGACGAGGAAGAAACGAACATCGAAAGTTTGGATGAAAATCTGTCAAGTTCAGGTATCGTTACGGACAATTCGAAAAGTTAGTGGATCAGTTCGGTAATTTTTACAGCAGGGTTGTGGTCAACTATGTTGACTGGAAAAATTCTCATTTCGGTACCTGAAACTTTTAAGCTGACAGAATATTTATTTTGGTCATAACTCGAGCAATTGACGTCCGAACGAGGAATGTTCAGCGCCTATGGAATCGTGTGAACGAGGAGAATTTAATGGGAGCAAGTATGGAAATTTTGGAGCATATTCAGAGTTAGTTTTGACGGATTGGTGGTGAGTGTAAAGGGGGTAAATTCTACGCCTTACGATTTTCAAGTATTTTTCTTGAGTATTTTCGAGTATTGATTTACGTGATGTATGTGCAGTATTTGATTCATGTTTGAGATTGCATGATTATTGTTGATGATATGTGATTTTGTTTGAGCTATGTTTGATGTGAAGGTGCTTGAGTTATTATTTTAATTTAAAGCTTTACGAGTATAAGTTATTATTAAAGAGTAAGAAAAAAGTTCTTTTTAAGAAGTAACTCACCTTCAAGAAAGTGGAGTCGTTTTAAGTGTTTTTAGTCACTAGCGTCAGTCCGTTGCCATTTGAGATTTCCAGATAGAGCAGCAGTTATGCTCTGGAGATCTTTGAGACAGCAGCAGTTATGCCCTTCAGATATTTAAGATGGGCAGCAGTTATGCCCTTGAGAATCGTGGTGAAGAGCCACCACGATAAGTTTAAGATGTTAGGGGGATGAATCGTTACGACTTCCCTAACTAAGTTTAAGTTTAAGGAAAGCCTGATTGGCTTCTCATACGTATGAGTTGGCAACCGGACTAGCTAGGGAGGGATCCCCGTGTCAGTCAAGTTTTTAAGTCAAGATTTGAGCTTTAAGAGAGGAGAGTAACTGCAACTCCCTCAAATTTTAAGAGTTAAGATTTTAAGATTTGGAAGTACAAACAGCTTCCTTCAGTTTGAGTTTAAGTGTTTGAGAAGAAGTGCAAAATTATTAGAAAGTTTAAGACGTAAGGGCGTAGACTGACCCCATCTCACTCACCAGTTTGAGGAGCTAGAGGAGCAGTTAGTGAGCAGCGAGTTCGAGGGAAGCCAGCTAGAGGAGAGCAGTATAAGCCTCACAGAGGATGCTTAGTCAAGGTTTTCAGTAGCAACAACTTCAGAGATTATTAGTTATTGACATTATGATTATGAGTACAGACTGGAGATTATTTTGAGATCAGATTGAGATTTTAATGTTTGAGTTTAGTTTGCCCATGTGTTAGGGCTTTGCTTTGAACCACAAGTGTGTGTTTTCAGTATTTCATTTATGAAAAAATTTCCCGCTGCAATTTAAGGTTTGAGCACTTTATTTATCAAGGGCATTTTAGTAAAAATAGTACCCGGCCGGGTTAGGGTGTTTTATATAAGTGCAGAACGAATGGAGAATGGCGGAAGAAATGGTAAAGGAAAGAAATTTGACTTTGGTAAAGAGGAAGAAGACCATGATGACTCTGAAAATTGCTACCAGAGCATAGACGATTTATTGAAAGAGCACATTTTAAAGGTATCCAAGTATATTCATATGTGATTGAAGATATTAGTATTACTATCATTAGTGCTAATTTGTTTTGTTTATATGTTTGACAGAGTGAAACAACGAATGGCAGCAAGGGTTCCTCTCCTAAGTACAAGAGACCGCGATATGAAAGTGACTCCTACACCACTCCACAGAAGGATCAATTTGTAAGAAAAGGATTATTTAGTGATGATAGCGATGAAGATGAATCTAAGAGTCCTTTCGAAAAGCACGGGGTAAGTTTACTTTACATATTCATCTATAATGTGTGTTTGTGTTCATATGTTACTTTAATTTTAACTATGATTTATAGGTCATGAAAGTGGAGGGTCTAGAAGGATTCACCAAAAATCTTCAAAATCCAGTTGAAGACTTGTATTATGTTGTTACTAAAGAGAAGGCTGGGGACAAGAATTGGGACAAGTAAGACGTTTTTTAGTACGTGTGGTCGACCGGATCGGTCATGAGGTCGACCGCTTTTCCAATAAGGTCGACCGTGACTGTGAACAGGTCGACCTGTACGTTGCAAATCACAATTGACATTTCTGTTATTTTGATTTTTGCAGTTTGACCGTTGTGGACTTTTTTTCTGAAAACGTGCAACGACATTATTTGAGTTCGGTCATTAGCGAGAATAGCTGGGTTTGCTCATCAGTAAGTACTATACTACTACGAATTTCGTATGAATTGTGCACTATTTATGTTACGATTTATGATGATTTTGTGTTTGATTGTTGGATGGTAGGTAGTGGATTTGTGTGCAAGGGCACTAACAATGTCTGAAAAACATGATGTGAAAGAGCCAAATGTGTGGTATTTGCCAATATGTTTTTTGTAAGAGCCGTAATGTCAAATTATTTGTCATAACCTAGTTATTTATATTGTACCATGTCAATTCATCTCAACTAAAACATGGTGCAGAAAATGGTACGCGCTAACATGAAGACCAGACAAATTCGTAACAAGTTGATGAATGATGGCGTGGTCTTTATGCCGAATGTCAGTGCATGCCAGAAGGTTAGTCTAGTCAATGTCTCTCTATCATTAAATTTCGAAAGTGCATTTGTTTGTATTCGCTGTTTATAACATATAGTGAGTGTTTCGTTGCTAGATATTTATGACAGTTCTTGACTATGAAGCACATCATTGGTTTCTGTATCTCGTCAATGTCCAGCAAAAAACTGCATTTTATCTTGACAGTCTACCTTCAACTAGTGAGGCGAATCGTAGGCGTAAATCAGCACTATGCAAGAAATTGGTAAGTGTTTCCTATAATTTTCTGACTGTTAAGCGTCACGTATTATGCTAGAAACTTAAAATATTCATTATTTGTGTGTAGTTGTCCA